AGAAAATATAACATGTCCCTATGGTGTGACCATGTTGGCTCCACCCATCTCATAACTACCAACTGAACTAAACAAAGGTGCTCCAAAAAGCCAGAATAATACATCAGCCTTTATATTTTTTGTGCTGTGGGTAAGGCCCATGCATAGCACAGGCTACTTATTTCACGGGACCAGAGACGGGTCTGGGTGCTGGGAGCTCCATGTGGATTACTGACTGTGTTCTTCAGCTTGGCCCTTCTCCATCCTTACTCCCCTAGGACCATGCTCCCAAATGTCCTGTATCAAGGAGCAAACTGCTACGATGAATGAATAGTTATTTATCTACGATGAGTGAATAGTTATTTATCAAGTGTTCTAACTAAAGGCTGCTGGACTAGGGAGATGACTCAGTGGAATAAAAGCTTCCCTGGCAAGTACAAGGCCTGAGTTCAATACCCGGTTCCCCCCACCCCCCCAAAAAAAAAGCAAACTAAAGGCCGCAGTTTACAATTAAAAAAAAAGAAAATTAGTAGAGAGTAAGCCAAAAATTAACACCAAGAGCTCCTCAATTGTTTGGAGTCCATAGGAAACACTAGAATATAAATAGGCCTAAGGAATGAAGCTGGAAAGGAGGTCAGAGACAGCCAGTGGGTGCCCAGGACACTTTTCTGGGTCATCTGGCTTATCTTTCAGCAAAGAGCGGAGGTGCAAGTACCAACTGATCCTTGTGCCTATTATTTTTAATCTTTCAGTTCCTTGTAGGTGTGTCCTTGGTGGCAAACACTGGACCCAGCCTGGGTTCAAAAATGACTCCTGTATTAGATGCTGGTGCTCTACTGGGGAAGGGCCTGGTCTGGGGTCTGTTAAGTTGAATGCTACTTTTTCCAAGGTGAGCTTACAGATCCTGTGGCCCAGCTATCCTTAATGTCACTAGAATAAAAGCTTGGAAGTGCTGGACCATCGAAGGATGTGCCTCTTCAGGAGAAGAATGAGCTAGAAGTTCTGCCGCTCAGATATTTCCCAGTTCTATGGTATCTAGAAAACATGAACTTCTGGAAGCCCAGAGCCACTTCTCCTGGCCCCTAATAATAATGCCCCACAACTAGCTGATCATGCAGAGTACGTGCCTCTGTACCCAGCTGTCTGCCCTTGCAGGCTCCAGCAGGGAACGTTGTGCTCTTAACCCATCCGAATCTGGCTCTTCTAGGCCCTTGAGCACCCTGAAGGCTGGGCCACATGACTCACATTTATTCCCTGCCTAACCTTCTCCGGTCAGCTACTTGCCTCTCTCTCTGCTTGCCACCCAGCCTCAGCCCATCACATTTTCTCTGTGCCTTTTGCAGACCAAGCTGGCCTCACATGGGGACCTTGTCTTTGCTGTGCCCTCCACCTGAAATGATCTCTTTCATGTAGTCACAACAGGGCTGCCCTGGCTCGTCTTTCAGATCTCAGAGTAAGCATCATTTACACAGTAGATGGAGAGTAACCAGCTGTCCATCCTTTGTCACTCACCCTGTCTCTGTGGCCTGCATGTTAATGTACTATCTCACTTTTTTTGTGTGTTTATTGCTGATGATGTGTAGGAGCCAAGGACTATCTGTCTTGATCTTCACTGTGTGCCTGATGCCCCAAAGAGTACCTGGCCCATCAGAAACACTTGCTGAATGACATGGTTCAACATCATGCCCTTTCTGCATTGCTTAAGCATGTAGCTGTCTCAATTTTTTATTTTATTTTATTTTATTTTTATTTTAGGGAAGGGCCTACAGGATGTTCAGGTCTCACTACTAGACTGGACTCTTGATATCTGCCTGTTTACAGCCTCCCAAGATCTGGGATTACAGGCATGTGCCACCACGCCCAGTCTCAGCATGCCCCAGGGGCGGGGCTAGCATAGCAGGCCTAGGGATGGAAAGTCTGGCATTTTAATTCGCTAAATTATTGCCTGGCCCTTTCAATCAAATTTAGCTTGCTTTCTTCATCTAATAATCAAGACTATATTCCCCCAGCAGTGACTTTATGCTCCATCCAAAAGAAAAATACCAGTGCATCCCAGACTCTCAGGTTTAACTATTTCATTGTATAACAATGGATGCTTTTCAATTGCTTCAGAAAACTGAGTTAGATTTTTGGAATGATGTACAGTGAAGATTTTGAAATCCATTTGTTTTTCCTAATGATATTAGTAAGCAAATTGAGTAACCTTTTGTTTTTTCTAAGAAAACTAAAGTAGATGCTCTTTTCTGCAAACAACTGTCAATGGACACTACTGTATAAACAATGTAGGCAGACAAACCACTGAGAGGGTGCTCATCTATCCAGGGCTTGCCTGTTCTGCTCAGCCAGGTGCCAATTTACTTGTTCCAAGAACCTCACAGAATCTTCTGAGTCAGAAAATATGTGTCCTGTTTTTTCTTTCTTTTGGTGTCATCCAGAGTCTCCTTTTCCCCTGTATTACGGTTTTCCAGAAAGACGGAACCACTAGGATAGATACATAGTTGAAGAAACAGACACACATAGATGAAATGGAGCGTATTAAGGAGTGCTGCAGTTTAGGGCCGGCCAGAGAGCTTAGCTGACTAAAGCGCCTGCTTGGGCAGAGTGCAGCAGCTGGGATTCGATCCTGGGTGTGCCATGGTGGCCCCGCCCCCATAGTGAGCTGAGCTGGGCAATTGAGACTGGGTGTGGTGATGCACACCCGTAATCCCAGCATGCCTGTAATCCCAGTGATTGGGAGGCTGAACAGGTGGATCACTACAAGTTTGATCTACATAATGAGACCCTGTAGAACTTGTACTTTAAAAAAAAAAAAAAAGTGTAATTTGGATGTGGTTGGTCCCCCAAGGGTACACATGGCAGGAGCTTGCTCTCCAGATAGTGGGTGTTGCGAGAGCCTGTAGAAAGTTCAAGGTGCTAGCAGGAAGCCTTAGGCTCCTGGAGGAGTTTCCCAAAGCAGTGTAGAGTAGCTCTCCTGGACCTCTGTGCTCACAGGAGCGAGTTATGTGAAAGCGTGGCTCTCAGGCTTCCTCTTTTGCAATCTGATCCCTGCTTCCTGCATGTGCTCCCACAATGCACACCAGGCCAGGGCGGGTATTGTGGTGTCTAAAACTCTAAGCTGAATAAATCTGTTTTCTTTCCTTTTTTTTTCTTTTTTTTTTTTTTTTTTTTTTTTTTTTTTTTTTTGTGGAACTGGGGATTGAACTCAGACCCTTGCACTTGCCAGGGAAGTGCTTATTCCACTGAGCCATCTCCCAGGCCCCCTGTTTTCTTTTTTAAAGTTATCCTTTTTCAGGTATTTTGTTATTAAAAAGCAGGCTAATGTAGGATAAATAATGGCTTACATGGTTATGAAGGCTGAGAAATCCCAGGACAAATTGTTTTGTATTTTGGTACCAGGGATTAAACTCAGACCTTATGCTTGTTAGGCAGGCACCTTATGCCACTGAGCCATACCTCTAGCTGATAAAATGTTTACAGGGTGGACACCATGAGATGCTGGAAAGAGGTCTCAGGCCAAGTCTGAAGACCCCCAAATCAGGAAAGCAGATGATTTAATTTTCAGCTGAAGGCCATAGGTCTAAAAACATAGATCTAAGTCCTAGACTTCAAAGCCTGAAGGGGCTGGAGTCATATGTCCAAAGAATTAAGAAAAGTATACCAGCTATAGGTGAGTGGAGAAGACAAAGACAGAGACAGAGACAGAGAAGGAGGAAGAAGAGTGAGAGGAGGAGAAGAAAGGAGGAGGAGGAAAAGGAGGAGGAGAAGGGAAGTAGGGGGAAGAAATTACCTTTCCTCTCCCCTTTTTGGTTGTATCCAGGTCCCCAGCCCACTGGACGGCGCTTGCGCTGCCCATTTTGAGGGCCTAACTTTCCCACTCAGTCCCCTGACTCACACGCCAGTCTCCTCCAAAAGCACTTTCACAGACAAACCCAGAAACAATGCTTTAATGCTTCCCTAGGCATGTCTTAATCTACTCAATCCAGTGAAGTCAAGACCCAAAATTACCCATCAAAATTGTATCCTTTGTTACCTTGGCACCTGTACACATCTCATTAAACCATACATGTTCTCCAAATGAAGACGATAACAAAGTTAACAGTTCCACCTAACAAGATACAGCTATCCTACATACAAGTGAAAATGGATGAATTCCTTTCTCAGAGGAAGAGGCAAAGCCTTTGGGTGATGTTTCTCTTTTCCTGATATTCCATAACATAAAATGATGTAAAATGAACACTTCAATACTAAGGTAATATATCTTGTGTTACATGGTAAAAGAATGAGAAAAACATATTTGACTCACATATGTACTATATATAAACACACAAATGTATCTCCTAACAAAATAGAAAAGATATTCATGGCAATGATAGCTTTTGTTTCTGTAGGTGGTCACATAGTCATAGTTGGTATTTGTAACTTTCTTCTAGTAGTCATTATCTTCCTTTTGCCTTCAGCAAATCCCTCAGCTGTTGTTTTGCTTTATAGTTTTTAAATCTTTTAGGACTACACAAATCTTCCTTAAGAGTGTGGGCCATTCATAATCTTGGATTGGATGTTTGCAGTTTCCCACTGACTTTAATCACAGGGATGATAATCTAAAAGATACCCTAATGGGTGGCCAGCACTGCAGGGCTGGAGTCCCTCACCTCCATGTGGGATAGCTCTGTGATTTCCTCTTGGCAGCCTTTTTTTTTTTTTTTAATTACCTTCTTTGAAACTAGCCCACATGCTATACACCAGACCAGACTATAAGGCTGCAAGGCCAGCTTCAGCATTTCTTTTCCTCCTTTAGGACCACCAAGACCAGTGTTCAGATCTGTTGGGAAAGGGAGCTGGAGGGCCAACCTCTTGGCAGTCTTATCTATCATCCCCACTGGTACCATAACTCCCATCTTACACTATTGATTCTGGGACAAGGGTGGCCAGGCAGCGGTTTTAACAATTATTTTCTCTTC